TTTTTTTTTTTGGCCTGCAGGGATATTTTGTGTTTATGTGTCCAAAAAAGGAATAAATTGGCATTCTTGTGCCAAAAGTTGTTTTTCCTGTCAATTGTCTAATAAGTATACAGTACACTGTAATGGCAACATACGTGGTTGCTTTTTAAAAACAATTTCCTCTGTATGAGAAATTTTACAAAGAACAGTGGAAAAACTTTGTGTTTTTAACTCTTGGGACTCCCTATTTTTAAAAATTGCTATTTGGTATACAATTATTATGTGTCAATTAAAACTAAAATAAAACTTTTAAAAAAGAAATTGCTATTTGAGAATTTTAGAAGAACTTTTCAGCAACACTTCACATATGAAAACTTTTACAAGATTGATCGGAGTTCTGGATATGGCTCTTAATGGGAAGATCTATTTAAGCAATGCTTGAGAAGAATCTGCAGTCTCCAGAGGGCAGTGTGGCCACACACTTTATAAGACTTAAGTTCTCCAGAGGAGAAGCTGCTCCAATTCATCCAACGTAGGGCTATCCAGTCTCATCTTTAGAAAAATTCTCACCAGCAAAGCCCTTTTGCTAAGTCATGGCAGGGACAATTCCTTAGGGAATTTATAGTTTGCCAGAGGAGAAAGTTCTGCATATAACTCTACCAGAAGGCAGTTAGTTGCTTTTTCCATCTGTATACTATCTCCTCCATATTTATCAGTTATCAAACATTTATCATGAACTGGGTACATGCTATGCTCTGCCTAGGTGCTAGGAACACAGAAGAGTAAAAAATTAATTATTCAAAGAATTCATTCTAATTTGGCATGAGATGGAGGAAGAGGCAGTGAGATTAACACTGGGTGCCTACTATCTGTCAGTCACTTTATTTATTTGTTTATTTATTTGTTGAGTATAGAGTCTCGCTCTGCCGCCCAGGCTGGAGCGCAGTGGTGCGATCTCGGCTCACTGCAAGCTCCGCTTCCCGGGTTCACACCATTCTCCTGCCTCAGCCTCCCGAGTAGCTGAGACTACAGGCACCCGCCACCTTGCCCGGCTAATTTTTTTGTATTTTTAGTAGAGACGGGGTTTCACCATGTTAGCCAGGATGGTCTCAATCTCCTAACCTCGTGATCTGCCCGCCTTGGCCTCCCAAAGTGCTGGAATTATAGGCATGAGCCACCATGCCTGGCTTATTTTTTAAATTATTTTTTATTTAGTTTTTTAAGACAGGGTCTCACTCTGTCACCCAGGCTGGAGCGCAGTAACACGATCATAGCTCCCTGCAGCCTTGACCTCCCAGGCTCAAGCAATCCTGCCACCTCAGCCTGCTGAATAGCAGGAACTACAGGAAGTGCGCATCACCATGCCCTGCTAATTTCTGTATTTCTGTAGAGATGGTGTTTTGCCATGTTGTCCAGGCTGGTCTCAAACTCCTGGGCTCAAGCCATCCTCCCACCTTGGCCTCTCAAAATGCTGGGATTACAGGTGTGAGCCACTGCACCGGGTCTGTCAGTCACTTTCTATTGATATCTTCATCCCAGCAACAGAGCGTTGCTGGGCACTGTATCAATACTGCTTCAAGAATTTTTCCGGCCGGGCGCGGTGGCTCAAGCCTGTAAAATTGAAGGAAAGATCTTGTTATTGATTAATTATTTTGTAGTCAGAAACCATGGGGTAGTCAGAAAATATAAAAAACAGTGTTGCAGGCCGGGCACGGTGGCTCAAGCCTGTAATTCCAGCACTTTGGGAGGCCGAGACGGGCGGATCACG